AATACACACTCCATTAAAGGGGTAGGAGGTGCTGAGTGTAAACTCGATACACACTCCATGAGAAATTATTCAATGCTGGTGGAAGCACTTCTGTGCTTCCTGTAGCTCTGCATTGCTCCAGTAGCTCTTGCGTGTAGCTGGTAGCTTGCGCTGCTCCGGTAGCTCTTGCACCGGTAGCTAGCACTGGACGTGCTACAGTACCGGTACCTGTGCCGGTAGCATGCTTGGATTCGCCATGCAAATCCTCTTTCTGCCGACGTACGGAGAGGTCTCCACTGGGATCTGGCTTCATACACTCCTGGAAACCAAAGATATCCCGAAAGATACCTTTTACGGTTCAGTGGCTGTGCTTCTTGCTGTGGCCGCTGAACTGTTTGGCTTGTTCTTCGCCGTTCCGTGGAAGAAGGCTTCACAAAAGCAATTTTCTTGTTAGAACTCCGTGTTCGAAAAAGGCTGATGATAGAGGAAGGAGGTGTTGATAGAGAGGTTGCTATAGTTGTGTGTTACTACTTGGTTGTTGTGGTTGATTTCTAGTAATCTGGTAACTGGATAGTCATAAATCGCTACCACAGGTCATTTTCGGTCCCCTCAAGCTAGAGGGGGATCTATCTCACGCTAGATTGCACTTGGAATGGGAAAACAGACTTCAGGAGTCTGAAACAGGATGTACCCTTGATGGAGGTATGCATCATATGCATGGCTGCATCGCTCTAGCATGTCATTCGTCTCTCAATTCGTCATTCAACTCAACATGATTTCATTTCGTTCATTGTTCAAATGGCTGCTCTCCTGCTTCTAGCCATCATTCTTCAATCACAGCTTCAGGTTGCATTCGGGCAACAGCTTCAGTCTCTATGGAATCTTGTGGTAAAACCTAAATCCCGGGCCAGACTGCCAGGACCTCATGGGCCACACAGGTAAAAAAATGGCTCAGCCCATTCAGGACATTGACTTTTGTCTCTGAACTTCAGGGTCCTGTTGCCAGGGTCATTCTATTCTCTCTTCTTGATCGTTCAATCTCTGACACAAAGTCCCCTCAAACCTGGACTATCGTCATCATCTGGTCTCACAACAGCATCTGGTTGCTTGTAGATCTTCTCTTGATTCATCAAATTGCATCTTCCAGCCTGTTCTGATTCGGCAATTCTCGTCGTCGTTCAGCAGAAACAGGGGTGCTGGGAAAAGTCGTCCAGTTTTCTTAAACTCGCATGTCTAAATTGTCAAATCCGTGCTCCAGGAAGGCAATGTTGTCATTTCGACCTGCTTTTCATGGAAATCCGAAGCACAAAAATTGAGAAGTTCGGTTCTAACATAGGGTTGCACAATTTGCGTCACCTCAAAGTCTCGTTTTGGCATATCAAATCTAGCCATTTCCGGTGATATCGGTGCGTCACGGTATCAGTGTTCGTCCTCCAACACAGTGTGCCGGGCATCAATTCCATCGCAACATTTGCTTTCATCGCAGCTTTTGCGTCACGCTACACACAAGGCAGCTGGTTCATATCGACATCATGTCAAATCTGTCTCAACTCGAAATCCGTCCCCTTAGCGTGATGCGGAAGGGGCGATCAAACACATAGTCAGTAAATCAAATCAATTCATTCAGCAGCAAACAAGTGATTCAACACAAGTGCACAATTTTAATCAATTCTCAGTATATCAGAATGTCTCAATATTTCACGCAGTGTGGCACGTTGGCCGAGTAGGCCTCGTCTCGCCACTGTCAAACTCCACCTCATAAATGGAAGTATCAAGCAATGGGTTAGTATTCGAAAGGCCAATCAATTTCCCATCTGAATTCCTCTTTGCACTTTCGAAAGCCTCGTGTTGGATCTCATCTGCCTCCGCCAACTCTGGCAAGGGTAGCAACTGATCTCAGAGTGCGAACACCGGAAACTCATCGCCGGTTCATCTGGTTGCCCACGCTAGATCCACCAGGAACATCAGTCCGGGATCGCTTCTCGGCTTGCAATGCCGAGACTTGGGACTGGGACTCTGACAACTGTGTCTGCAGCTCGGCAATTTTCCGCTTGTCACCATCGCGGGTGTCCCTAGCCTGTTGCTGCTGCGCCGATGTGAGCTGAGCCCACTCATCGGGATGATAGTATCGTTCTGAGTCATCGGGGTCAAAACCTCTGCCTTCACGGCTACGACCACGTCCTCGTCCCCTGCCTCGACCTCTTCCATGGCCTCGGCCTTGGGACCTGCCACTACCACGTCCACGGCCTCTTCCATCAACAATTGGGGAGGGTCCGCGATATCTACCTCTTCTCGTTCGGACTCGTACATCGCCCAAATTGTGTTCAGTCTAGCCAAAGTGGCTTGGTTGGGGATGATTTGACGCTGGATTCGTAACATGTGTGACTTGTAGAACCGTAGTTGTCTAAGTCGCTTCTCAAATCCAAACCCCAGCTGTCGTCCTCGATTGGGAACTTCTCTGGGCTGAACTGCTGCGGCAGCTTCATCAGTGGCTGCAGCCGCAATGGCTGGATTTGGGATGGTACCGCCAGGTTTCCTCACATTCTCGCAGATGCTCTTAATATCAGCATCGGTAAAGGTATCGAGTGAGACGAAGGCATCCAATCCTTGATCATTCAATGCTGTCCTCGTGGCTAGTTCGGCAATACCGATGGTATTCTGTAGATAGTTGTTCATGGCTGCAAGATTGCCTGCCATATTCGCCTCCAATTACTTCTTCTCTTGCGGTATCACTTGGATGAGCAACAGTTGTTGGGTCTTCTTCTCTGCTCCTATTCCAACAGCAAACTGTACACACCCAGACAAGTAAAGCTGTATTCAAGGGAATGAGCTCTGCACACCCAGTCTGTGGCAGTCTAGGCCAAAACACTTGGATGAGGCGTCCCCTCTCCTTGGCTCAACCGGTTTCTCTGGTGACAATGAGGCAGGAATTGATCCAGACTGGAGGGATCAATATTCTAAGTCCAAACCTCTGCTTCTCACTTGGAAGTCTCTTCCTCTCCACTTGAGAGGGCCCCTTCTTCTTGAGAGGTCTTCTGTTGCTATGCGGCTTGGAGGTCTTCTCTTCTTCTCTTGTTCCTCTGCCGATTACACTGGCAATGAGGATCTCTTCTTGTCGTTCTGTAGCTCCGAAACGGTAGCTTCGAATCGGCGACAATGGCGCTGCTTCGAATGAACGAACGGTATCTTCACGTCGAACGGTAGCGTTCGAATGAACGAACGGTATCTTCACGTCGAACAGTAGCGTCGACAATGGCGTTCGAACGATTAACAAACTCCTTCTTCTTCTTCTTCTCTATCTTCTCGATCACGACAAGCGAACGACAATGGGATTTCGCTTCGAGCGAACGGTATCTTCGAACGGTAGCTTCGAGTGGTAGTTGTTCGAACGGTAGCTTCGAACGAACGAACGAACGAACGGCTCCTTCTTCTTGTCGCTCGCAACGATCTATCGTAGTAGCTTCCACGCCTGATAAGCCGAAAAAGGCTGATGATAGAGGAAGGAGGTGTTGATAGAGAGGTTGCTATAGTGTTGTGTTACTACTTGGTAGTTGTTGTGGTTGATTTTAGTAATCTGGTAACTGGATAGTCATAAATCGCTACTACAGGTCATTTTCGGCCACGGCGCCAGAGCCTTTTGACAGCCACGGTACAGTCTGCCCGCTGTAATAATTATAATCTTGTATTTATTGGTCGCTGTTATAATTATTAAATCTCGAGGCCCCCCCCCCAGTCCCGGGTATCCGTGAATGAAGGAACAAATCTTTCGAGCAGCCCAACAACGTCGTACAATCCATTCCAACCGTTTCAATTTGACCGAGACAGCATGTCAAATGCCGATATCGATCCAATGGAGGTGTCATTCCTGGGTACCTCTGCGGTATCTCTGCGCGCACCTCTCCGAGGCTGTCTCGTCGGTGCCAGCCCAAGCCCTGGTTGTTTACGTGCATTTTTCGAAGGATGGTTTTGACGAGACAAAAACAATTCAGGTGAGCTGCCAAACAATTTCACACAAACCATACCAAAGGATCCAATCCGACCTAGACCAACATGAACGGCGCCGATTCAAACGCAAACGTGACGGCTCTATCCATTCGTTTTTCACTAGTGGCTAGCCTCCAGAACGTACTATATTTAGTGTCACTGTTATATTTACTGAGATCCACCTTCCCCCCTTATATATATTAGAGAGGGCAGACTGTACGTTTGGTGCCGCAAAGTGGTGTTATCTAGGAAAAAGTTTCAATTTTTTTTATTTTGAAACTTTAGGCAAATATTTAGAAGAAAGATAAAAACCTCAAAAGCGATTTGCCCCACACTCTTTCGGATAGTTACACGCACACCCTGCTTAGCTACCCACCTAGCAATATGGGTGTTCTAGAAATCCTATTCTCTTCAAGTTAATAGACATATCTGAATTCTCCAAAAAGAGTAGATATCATTCCCAACAAAAACTTTCGAAAAAGGTTTGAGTTTTGGCTGAGATACAGGCCTTTAGATATGGCCAGTTGGGGTACATGTTGGAGGCCATAAGGGATCACTAGACCTATGCCGCATGTAGCGCTACAGCATCCAGAACTCCATGTCATGGAACCAGAAATCCTGTGTCAATCAGAGTTCACTGATACTCACCGGTACTCAACACCCTCTTTCAGTAACTCTGATAGTTCAATGCAATTATTCATTCATATACTTGTCATCTCCAACATAGGTGACCGCATGCTTCTTGAAATCTCCCAATCCAACATTCTTGGTGCTGATGTCACTGCACATGTGTTGGTTTGAAATCCAATTCAATACTAAAGTGCCTTCCTCCTTCAACTCACGTAGGAATGCAACTCGGTTAGCCACATGTCTGGTCCTTCCAGCAGAAGACCAATTGTTGGCTAGATCCACAGCTCCTTTGTTGTCAACATACAGAACCATAGGTTTCTGCACCTTCAATTCCATGTCCTCCAACACACGCATTGCAAACAACATGTCTTGGGCACACTCCACTGCAGCAACAAACTCAGCTTCTGTCACAGACAAGTTACAATGTTCTGCATCTTGCTTCTGACAGCAATGGGTGCTCCACAAAGAAATGTTGTAGCTCCACTCACACTCCTGAACTCATCCCTGTCTCCAGCATATTCAGCATCAGACATGCCATGGATGACAAATTCAAAGCTCTTGTCTTTACCATCCCACTTGGCATTGGGCTTGATGAACCATCCTCTCTCAGGAGTCTTGAGGTAGTGAAGCATCAACTGTTTCAAAGCAGCCATGTGTCCTTGAGTGGCTTGTGACATGAACCTTGACAACTCTCTGAGTCTGTTCTTGGTCTCAGGCCTTGACATCTTGGTGAGATGAATGAGTTTGCCCACACCCTTCCTGTAGATAGTCTGCTCTTCAGGAGTCAGCAACTCAGTTCCATCTTCCTTGGACAATCTACTTCCAACTGGAGCAGGCAACATGGATCTGTTGTGCTTGGGCAAATCAAACTCATCATGCAAACTCTGCAGCAACACTGGTTGAGTGATCTTGATGGTACCAGCCTTGATGTCTCTGACAATCTTGCATCCAACATACTCAGTTAGTGCACCACAGTCATCACACTCAAAGATACTCTTGATTCCATCAGTGGCTTGCTTGAGCACTTTCTTGTGTCCAGCACCAAGCAAATCATCAACCCAGGAAGCCCACAGCACCAATCCACTCTTGGTCCATTTGAAGTAGATACAAGCATCACTTTTGTTCCTCTTGAATCCAATCTTCTGGAATGCTCCCCAGCACTTGGTCCAAAAACAGAAACTTGCCTGTTTGGTCCCATACAATGTCTTCATCAACAAAAGTACCACACTCTTAGGGGCCGCATGTAGCGCTACATGCGGCATAGGTCTAGTGATCCCTTATGGCCTCCAACAGTACAAAGCACCCTTGGAATACTGGGGAGACTTACTTGGAGCCCGGAAAGTGCCCAAACCAGGAAAGTTGATGTTTGCTCCCTTGCCTAACACCCATGTGCAGAAATGAGTGCCGTTGAGGGGACTCATAAACAATGAGTGCCACCTGTGGTCCATGATTCTGATGGGATTTTTTCAAATTTTCAAGAAAAGAACAATTTGGCCTAAATAAATGAGTGACACCAAGCCAGAAAAAATTGCGAAAATCTGAACATGGGTGTTCAACTCTGGGAGCAAATGAGAAAAAAATCAATTTTATCACCTCTTTGTTGTTAAGAAAACTGTCTCCCCAATTGCATTCCAGGCCAAAGCAAAGGTACGATACCGGTACACTTACACAGCTCACTGGCTTATATCTTGTAAAACGACGGGCAGACACAATCTTTTCCTGTTTGCAGGTATACAACACCACAAAGAAAGCCACGCGATTGTGGAATAAAACCTACTCCAAGAGTAGTCACTAGCGAGTCAACAGTGCTTGAGGATAGGAGTAACCTACTTAACGTTTTAGAAAGTCGGCGCGGGTTTTTTGCTACTCCTAACGAATTTTCAATGAAAATGCAGCTACTCTCTAGCGGAGGTGTCTCTGATTGGTCAAAAAGTTAGTCTGTCGCGCTTCAACTTCAACTCTCTAATTCAATTTGGTATTAACCGGTGAAATAGGTCACGTCTAATACCGGTTTCTAATTATGGTTAAGGTTTCAATTATGGCGAAACTATTATTACCTCCTAGGGTCCCCAGTCCCCAGGCCCCCTACTGTTTGTTCTATAGTGGAAGCTGAAAATGGGGGACCGGGGGACCGGCGTTAAACGGAATCAAGCTGATGGCTTAAGGTATGGGGGACCAGGGGACCGGCTGGTAACTGGTCGTCTTCATGACTGTTGTAGGAGGTACAAGTCTTAGCAACGCTGTCTCTGGTCTCCAAATCTCGGAAGCTAGCTAAGCCGAGTGACTCAGTCATTGCGCTAACTCGTCTCCTGCGGTCGGAAGTGACTGCATGAGATGCAAAGTTGATGGAGCAGATGATGTCATAAGAACACCATGGTTAAAAAAGAGACTTGCAAGAAGAGGCTGACGGGGTATATCTTGTTCGTAAAAGAGCATTATCATGATGTTGAAGAGGAGTGTCCTGATTTATCATTTGGAGGAATTGGGAGAGTCTTAGAAGAGAGATGGAGGTGTCTCTCGGATTGCGAAAGGCGACAGTACGCTTAACTGTCTTCCACCGTATCAATAGGAAGAATCTGATTAACGCCGGCAATGTAGTTTTCAAAGACAGATTATAGTAAGTTTAGCTGTATTTAGAAGCCAAGCATTTGAGGTTCTGACACTGTAGAATCTGCTGGGATTGTCACACCTAGGCGTTCACATAGGTGGTCTCTTGTGTTTCTTAGGTTCTTTGTATGGATTAAACCACAGTTTGAGTGACTAATTAGAAGACAGCCTTCAATAGAGAGGGGTTGGTCTAGGTTGGTATTGTCATCATCAAATTCTTGAATATGGTAGAGCGGGAAATATGTCTTTACATCAATGTCTCCGTCTTCAGGGATCATGCAGCATATGCATAGTTGCATTAGGTTTTGTCTATGATTGTAGTAATGGATTCGACAAATTGATAATTTTAACCTAAAGGAATGTTGTCAAGTCTTATCCTGGTCCACCCGTCATAACGTCATAACTGTTCGGCTTTTTTTCAGCATTCGTCTCCTGTTTCCTCAGTTTGCTGGCTACTTGAATCCATATGACGAATACATGCAATCCAGCCGCCATTGTAGCCGGCTACGGTACAGTTACATCGGCGACAGTGTCAATAGTACCGAACACAGTCAGGTTCCACTTTGCCGGCTACACTCCGTTGCCGGTATCTTGCATTGAATCCTTATGACGAATACATGCTCAACCGAACATTATGAATCCAGCCATTGTAGCCGGCTGCGGTATAGCTACATCGACGACAGTGGCAACAGTACCGAAGTTCGGCTTTGCTCGCTATGGTTACCGGTACCTCGCATTGGATCCTTATGACGGATACATGCACAACCCGAATATTGTCAATCCAGCCATTGTAGCCAGTTACCGTAGAGTTACATCAATCGGTGACAGTGGCAACAGTATCGAACACACTCAGGTTCCGCTTTACTGGCTACACTCCGTTACCGGTACCTTGCATTGGATCCTTATGGCGAATACATGCACAACCGAACATAGTCAATCCAGCCATCGTAGCCAGCTATCGTAGAGTTCATCGATCGGTGACAGTGGCAACAGTACTGAATAGGTTCAACTTTGCTTGCTGCTGTTGGATAAGGCAACACTGTAGCTACTGGCTAATATCAAGTTAATTTGTTGATTTGGGCGAGCTGAGCAGAAAGAATGATCTTTCTGCCAGGTTGCTCTGAAATCTGGATTCTGAGAATGCCAGTTTCCTTAAAATTCTACGACGGTGCGGTCTTTTTCTTATCCGGGTCCGCTAAATATCTAGACGGCCAACACACTCCTGCGTGGTCCCTAATGGATCCACGGAACGATAAAACTAAACTAAATAGGAGGATGCCCCATAATAAAGCGCGAGCGCATGGAATAGGGCACTTGGAGGGGCTTCGTGAGAAAGTCCCCGTGCATTCCTTGTGGGACAATACACCACTCGTACATTTCCCTGCTTCACTTGGTCGTGAATAAAGAAGAAACGCAAATTCAGAGCACGAGTACGCTTACGGCGCTGCTCTTACCATCTCAGCGAGAATGATAGCATTCTTGTTGTCTTGTAAAGGATGTTCTCTGGACATCGACACCTTGGGCTTCAAAAACAACTTGGTCCACAACAAAGGCTCATAACATCGTCGGCTCCATGAGTTCGGCGTCGGTACTGCTTCGGGCGTTGAGTTCTGTTTGCTAGACACAGCAATTGGGCACCGCGCCGAAACTGAGCACTCCTCGGTATGGGAACGGTAGTCTGGGTGTAACAGCAAAACTGGCATCCACCCACCAGCGATAATGCGAACGTCGTCAGATGGAGGATGAGCTTGTCGTCAAAGTCTGTTGAATAACTTGAGGCCTTGGAGAAGTTTCCCCAATCGTTCTGGTTCGGTTGCTTCACTCGAGTAAAAGGACGGTAGTCAGGGTTTGCATATCTGGACGTGCACGCTTAAGGCAAAGAGTAGCTTGGCTGTGTTCGGTGGAAGGTATCCTTCGTCAGGGTCCAGATTGTCACGTCACCACAGAAAACAATCAGCTGGGGCTGCACTCGGAACAGAAGGACTGTTCAAAGTTTACAGGGAACTCTCGAGCACCTTGGTCAAATATCATCATGTCAATCTGACTTTGCCCGGCTCAGAAAAATCAATCGTCATCCCTAGATATCATGCTTGGGTCCTCTGGTTGTTTGACAGCACCGTAGGTACATACTTCTCGTTGCACCGGGCCAGGAATCGTCATTACCTTGGCCATCATATGATGGACATGAGATCGTCGACATGGAAACGGATAGTCTGTTGTTGCCATTGACCATCCTGTGGCAACACAGGATCTAGGGGTTGAATACGAAACCAATAGACTCCAAATCCTTGCGGAATGCCTTGTTCCAAAGTAGACTTGCAATGAGCATTCATAGAGTGCCTTCAATACCACAACGTAGAGGATAGGTCTCCCTTTCTCATAGACAAGGAACGGCTTTTAAGTGTCAGGGTCGATTTCCACAGTAGCTCTGCGAGAGTACTTCGATCTTCATGATCACCTGTCACCGATGAAGAAGACAGATGACGAAGATGACGAGGGTGACATTGTGATCGAAGGTTCAAAAGGAGTTCCAGGCAATCCGACAGAACAAGCAAACAATCGGCCAAGTATTGTAGACCCAACTGATGGACCATTCGAAGGCCCAGCCAAAGCAAGCAAGCTGACAAGATTTGGAAGTCCGCAGGTCTGCCAGGATCGCAGCCAAACAAGGAACCACGAAGGGAGTCACTTTCGCACAGGAGTGTACAAGACCGAAGATCAGGAACCGAGAAGAAGCCGCTTCTGTATGAGACAATGGCGGCAAAGACAATGGCACAGTTCATTCATGAAATCAACCACGGAAGGATCAAAGATGACTCCGTGGAAGGAGCAAGTCACGCGCAGCAGCACTTGTTGCCCAAGGGATTGAAGATCTGGGGCGACAGGGCCAAGAAGCAGCACGAAAAGAGATGGATCAGTACACAGCCGTGTGGCGTCGCACCAGTTCGACCAGAGGAGTGTAGCGAAACAGAGCTCAAGAAGTCGCAGGTGACGCTTATGTTTTGTACGGAGAAAAGAGACGGGACCGTCAAGGCCCGAGCCGTTTTCAACGGGAAACCGACCAGAGTGTTATCAGGACAAGGATGAGACTCGAAGCCTACAGTGTCGTTGGAAGGACTGATGCTTTCATGTGTGTTGACGCTAGTGAAGGGCGTGATGTTATGACTTTAGATGTACCGAATGCTTTCATCCAGACAGCATTGCCGCAACCCAAGGATGGTGGTGACAG